CTGGTTCCTTTTCATTATCCTGGTTCCTGTAGTTATGCCTGGATACATACTCACTCATCAGGATTTGGCGCTAGGATCTATATATGAGGGAGAACATACTTTTTTTTTTTCTGAGTCTGTGTTACTTCACTTAGTAACAGTTTCTAGTTCCATCTATTTACCTGCAAATTTCATCTTTTCTTACTGCCTAGTAGAACTCCACCGTATAAATGAACCACATTTTCATTATTCACTCATCGGTTCAGGGACACTTAGGTTGCATCCATCTCTTAGCTATTGTGAAAAGAGTAGTAACAAACATGGATGTACAAGTGTCTCTGCAATAGGATGAGTTCTTTGGGTATATGCCAAGGAGTGGTACTCGCCTTTTTTTTTAAACCTTTTTAAAAATATTTTATTCATTATTTTTATTTTATGTGTATGAGTGTATTGCCTGCATGTAGGTAAGTGCACCTGTGTCGTGCAATGCCCTCGGAGGACAGAAGAGGCCATCAGGTCCCCTGGAACTGGAGTTATGGACAGTTGTTAGCTGCCATGTAGGTGCTGGGATTCAAACCTGGGTCTTCTACAAGAACAACCAGTGTTCTTAACTGCTGAGCCATCCCTCCAGCTCCTTTTTAAACATTTTTATTTGGTGTCAGGGTCTCACTAAGTTGTCCAGCCTGGTTTGGAATCTACTCCGACAGCCCAGGCTGGTCTTGAACTTTTGAGCCTACATCAGCCTCCTGAATAGCTAAATTCACAAGCTTGTGCCACTAGGCCCAGCTGATCATCAGAATCTTAAGGATAAAAATGCTGTAATAAGCGGGGCATGGTGGCACACCCCTGTAGTCCCAGCAGTTGGGAGGCAGAGGCAGGCGGATCTCTGTGCGTTCAAGGCCAGCCTGGTCTACATGGTGAGTTCCAGGACAGCTCGAGCTACAGGGAGACTCTGTCTCAAAAAGACCAAAAAAACAAAACAAAACAAAAAGCTGTAATACCTCCCTTCTCCTCTGAGCCAGCCCCTTGGATCCCTGATTCTTGGTTTAATGCAAGCTCACCTCCTCACTGTCCCTGGGGGAGAGGTGCAGAATGGCAAGATCAGGGGCCAGGGAGAGCCTCCTGTGGGGGTTGCCTCTGGCTCTCTACACTAGACTCTCTGGCGGAGTGGGTGGTGTCTGAGAACAGGCAGCTTGGTGTGGGGAGCTCTGATCTTCTGCATCAGTGGCTGTTTGCTAGCACCCTCCCACAACTACTAATATCCAGTAAAGCCTTTGGAAAAGGCAAAAAAAAAAAGAAAAGTGAATGTTCAAATATAATTAGCTCAGAGC